TGGGGCCTGCCTGCCTTCCCTTTCCCTTTCTCACTGAGTGGCTACTGCTTGCCCGTCTCTGACCTTTCAGAGTCTCAGGTCTGATGGGGTGGAGATGGAGCACAGGTGACTGATTCGGGGGACTCGGAGACACCTCTTGGAGGAGGGACAGGAAGGGTTGGAGGTAACTGGTTTCATGTGGGCAAAACACAAGACATAGACATCCTCGTCAACCTTGGTCTTCTCTGTAGTATTTCATGCAGGGTCCTGGTCAGTAAATCTGGCCAAGTGAGTCATTTGAAAGCGGTCATGTGATCTGGGTTGATAAGTGGATAAGCCATTGGCTTTCATCAATCTCTGAATTTATTAGTGAACTTTAAAAAAGAAACCTTTCTTGTGCTTTTAAATAATGACTTTTTTTCTTGTTTTTGTTTTTGTTCTTTGTTTGTTTTTTGTTTTTTGAGACAGTCTCGCTGTGTCACCCAGGGTGGAGTGCAGTGGCGCCATCTCGGCTCACTGCAAGCTCCGCCTCCCGGGTTCACGCCATTCTCCTGACTCAGCCTCCCGAGTAGCTGGGACTATAGGCGCCTGCCTCCAAGCCTGGCTAATTTTTTTTTTTTTTTGTATTTTTAGTAGAGACGGGGTTTCACCGTGTTAGCCAGGATGGTCTCGATCTCCTGACCTGGTGATCTGCCTGCCTCGGCCTCCCAAAGTGCTGGGATTACAGGCGTGAGCCACCCCGTCCAGCCATGACTATGTTTTTTAATCTTACCATTTAAATCTAGTTTTCCTGAAGATGCTTGTGTGCCTTTAGCCAATAGGATCTTTGTCCGAGGTGGCAATGAAGATAGTATACCATGAGCCCATAATGCCTCCAGGGTAGTGGCTGCCAAAATTAACAGCTGTGGAATTATTTGTGACCCTGTTAAGGATAAACATATTTGTCCCTTTTCATTTTATGATCAGCAACTGCTAGAGTTCTTACTTGTAATTGCAATTTACTGACCTCACTGTATTGCTTAGTTTAGAGGTGGACACAGAAAGAATGGAACATTTGTTTTCTTTTGGATCTGAGCTATGAATTTGGGCCTCATTATCATGCAGGCCTTGGCCCCTCTGTCTCTACAAGATTGGGCTTTCCTGTTTTTGTCCTTCTCAGCTTACTTCGTAGACACGCTTTGTGTAGAGGAGAAAAATACCCTCCAAAGAACCTCCCAAGGAGGTTACCAGGTACACGGTTCAGCCAAGTGGGTGACTCGATGGGATGCATCTCTTTGTGTTTGTCCGGGCCGGGAAGGGTGTGACAGCACGTTGGGAGAGACAGCTCCCAGCCAAATAACTTTACCACCTGAGCTATGAGGCAATTCCTGCACATCACCACTCCAGCAGGGTCCAGCCTTGCTGCTGCAGAAAGCGAGGGTGTGGGAAAGCAAATGGCTCCACACGACGCTTGCGGTGTTCAGAGGGATGAGTATGAGTTGTGTGGATCTCAGGGAACCCTTTGGCCCGGGAATACATGTATTGAGCTCCTCCTATATGTGCATTTATGTGGGTCAAGTGTATCTACTTACATACTGAAGTATTTGTGAGTAAAACAAGAAAAAAAAAAAGATGTGAAGGATGGATAGAGAAAATAAAACAGCAGGAGGCTGGTAGTTCCTGAGGCTGGATGCTGGGCACATGGGCATCCATTCTACTCTTCTCTCTACTTCTGTGTATATTTGAACATTTTCAAAATAAGAGGTTTTTTTTGTTTTTTTTTGTTTGTTTGTTTTTTGTTTTTTTTTAGTTTTTTTTTTTTAGATGGAGTCTCACTCTGTAGCCTAAGCTGGAGTGCAGTGGTACGATCTTGGCTCACTGCTACTCTGCCTGTGGGGCTCAAGCTATTCTCGTGCCTTAGCCTCTTGAGTAGCTGGGACTACAGGTACGCACCACCACACCCAGCTAATTTTTTTTGTTTTAGTAGAGATGGGGTATCACCATGTTGCCCAGAGTGGTCTCGAACTCCTGAACTCAGGCAGTCCACCTGTCTTGGCCTCCCAAGGTGCTGGGATTACAGGTGTGAGCCACCATGCCCAGACAGAATAAAAGGTTTTTTTTAAAAGTATGTATAGTATTTGTCTTAGCCTATTGTACTGCTATAACAAGATACTTGAGACAGGGTAGTTTATAAACAGCAGGTATTTATTTCTTACAGTTCTGGAGGCTGGGAAGTCTGAGACCAAGGCACTAGCATTCAGTGTCTGGTGAGGGCCTTCTTGCTGTGTCCCTATGGGGCAGAAGGCAGAAGGGCAAAAGGGGCCTTGCTGGTTCCTTCAAGCCCTTTTACAAGGGCACTGATCCTGTTTATCAGAGCTCCCCTTCCAGAACTTAATCACCTCCTAAAGGCCCTTTATCTTAATGCTATCACATTGGCAGTTAAGTTTCAACACATGAATTTTGGGGGCATGCAGGCCATGACAGTTTTCAAACATTTGTCTGCATACGTAGGACCCATCAAACACTGTACTGCTTTGGCGCACACTCTGAGCTGGGCCTCTGAGTTCAGCAATGCTTCACTTTCCTGGCATGCAGAGCTGAGGGGCGGGGACAGAGATGAAGTCTCTGAGGCACAGTGATGGTATCATGGAAACCTTGAACTGTGGGGACTCACCAGGGGAGGGTCGGGGTTGGCTTCACTGAGGAATCGAGGACTGAGCCAAGACCCGAAGGATGACTGGGAACCTCCTGGGTGCTGTGGGACTGGGGGAGAGGGAGAGGGAGTCTCAGATGGGGGGAATTCCCTGCGTAGTGGCCCCGGGGCCTGAGGGTGGCCAGAGGATGGAGCCCAGAGGGAGGGGAGGATGGTGAGGCAAGGGTGGAAGGTGTGGGGCGTTCCAGGCCCGGTTAGGGGATTGGCCTTTGTCTTCGTGCCACGGACAGCCATTGAGGCGTCTAAGTAGGGAGTAGCCGCAAATCAGGCTCCCACTTTCCAGCCACCATTTATTTATGGCTTGGAGGGTGGGTGGCACAGGCAGGCACTGGCATCCAGGTGAGAGATGACAGCTCCTCAGACTGAGGCTGTTGGGGGTGTGTGGTGGCAGGGGTGGGAGCAGAGGTGTGTTTGAGAGAGATGAAGGACACAGTGGCAGTCTGGACATGGGTCATGGGGAGGAGGGGTCAGCATAAACAGTGATGGGGCCATTGCAGAGACAGAACACCAGAACAGGACCCGATGTGTAGGGGAAGCCTTGCATCTGACCTGGGTGGATCTGGAGGTAGATTTTGCAAAGGCGATTGGTCATATAGACTTGGGGCTCAGAGGAGGCCCCTGGGAAATGAGTCTGGGGGACTCCCCCACATGCAGATGCTACTGAGTGTATGGAGGAGTTGCTTAGGGAGAGGTATGAGCCTGGGGACCACAGGAGGTGGCTCCAGCAGACTCTAGAGCCCCAGCTTGGGTTTTTTCTTTTTAAAATTAAACAAGCCACGCTTAGGTGTGCTTGTTGTAAAGATGTGAAGCCAAAGCAACCATATACAGATGCAGACACTTTCAGACACTTTTGCAGAAAGTACAGCTACATGTACGCACATATGCATAGATACTATTTTCAATTTTATGTGAATGGGATCATACCATCGTCCCACCAACTAATTTTTCTTTAAGGTTTGTTTTCTGATTATAAATGTCATACAAAGGTATAATGGGAGTCCTCTCCTAAAATCCCATTCTCCAGAGATAACAGTTAACATATTCCTTCAACATTTTCTTCTATACCTATATAGTATTTTATTATATAGATGAATCGTTATTTATAATTATTCCTCTGTGGAAGAACATTTAGATGCCTGTAAGTTTTCTTCTGTTAAAAAATAGCCCTACAGTGAATATCCTTGAGTGTCTGTATTCACTTGCATGCATTTGTGAGTAGTTTTGCAGGCTGGGCTCCTCCCAGTGGAATTGCTAGGCTAAAGGGCATGCACCTTTTAGAGGTTTTTGTTTGTTTGTTTGTTTGTTTGTTTGTTGAGAGGAAGTCTTGCTCTATAGCCCAAGCTGGAGTGCAGTGGCGCCATCTTGGCTCACTGCAACCTCGGCCTCCTGAGTTCAAACAATTCTTCTGCCTCTGCCTCCGAAGTAGCTGGGATTACAGGCATGCATCACCACACCCAGGTAATTTTGTATTTTTAGTAGAGACAGGGTTTCACCATGTTGGTCAGGCTGGTCTTGAACTTCTCCTGACCTGTAGTGACCCACCTGCCTCGGCCTCCCAAAGTGTTGAGATTACAGGCATGAGCCACCACACCTGCCCACCCTTTTAGAGTTTTAACAGATGTTGCCCCGCGGCCTGAGAATGCCTGTTTCCCCACAGTTTCACCAGCACTAGATTTAACCTAATCTGTTGGGTGAAAAAGGTTGTCTTATTGATGCCTTAATTTACATTCTATCCATGACTTGCAACTTTAAGCATCTTTTAAAATGTTTATTGGTTACAGGCAGTCTTCATGAGAACATTGTATCCTTTGTCTGTTTTTCTTTTGGGTTTCCTTTATTTTTCCTGAATGGATTTGAAACAGTTCTTTACAGGATCTGGCAGTTGATTGACAGCTTCTTAATTCTAAGAATGTCCCCAACTTAAAAGCATCCCTGGAGAGTCCCCTTCTTCTGTGTCACGCCCAGTGTCTTGTGTGAGTTGTCACCAGGCCCCACTTGTTTTCCTCTGAAGCGTTCTGACAGCTCTGCTCACGGCCCCTGTGTTGAAGAGACATGCTGCAGGCCGGGCATGGTGGCTCACGCCTGTAATCCCAACACTTTGGGAGGCCAAGACAGGCGGATCACTTGAAGTCAGGAGTTCAAGGCCACCCTGGCAAACATGGGGAAACCCCGTCCCTACCAAAAATACAAAACAGCTGGGCGTGGTGGTGGGCACCTGTAATCCCAGTTACTTGGGAGGCTGAGGCAGGAGAATTGATTGAACACAGGAGGTGGAGGTTGCAGTGAGTCAGGATCATGTCACTGCACTCCAGCCTGGGCAAGAGAATGGGACTGTGTCTCAAAAAAAAAAAGAGAGAGAGAGAGATGCTGCAGAGCACCCTGCAGTGTTCCCAAGGTGTGAGGTGACAGAGCCCTAGTCTCTGATTCTGTGACAGCTTCGGAGGGTGACACTCTATGTCGGGCCCTAAAGTGCTCCCCTGGGCTGTCAATGGTGTGCTTCTCTGGTCACCTTTCGGGGGTGCAGTAACCTCGCCTCTGCTCAGTTTCTCAGATGACCAGTCAGGGAAAAGAGTGGCCATCAACATATCATGAAAATGTTCTGTTTGAAAATGCAGAGTACAGTTCCTGGGGACACAGGGATCTCCCAGTCCTCAGTGCTTCAAGACCCTGGGCAGTTCCTATTGGACAATGACACAGGAAGGTGTGAGTCATTCTGGGCGGTTGCTAGTGTGCTGTGCTGTGCCTGTCGGCTTGGCGGTGGGGAGGCCAGGCGTGGGAGTGATGTTCCTGACTATGCCTTCTCTCCCAGTCACTCCTTTCTGGGTTTTGTTAGGGGAGGGGGTGTCTAGGGTCCAGGCCATCACCAGAAGCTTGGCTCCCTGCTCTTGACCCCTTGCTTCTGCCAAACACTCCACAGCTTACCTGGAAGCGCCCTCAGGGTTGTCCAAGCTGCCTGCCTCCATCTGGCTCTGGCCCTGCCTCCATCTGGCTCTGGCCCTGCCTCCCAGCCTCGGTAGCTGGTTCCTGAGCCCTGCTCCTGGGGCTCCCAGCCTCTCCTACTTCCCTCCTCTCCTTCTACCTGTTTCGTAGCCACTTTACTGAGATATGATTCACATACCCTACAATTCACCCCTCTAAAGAAGAGTTCTTAGTAGAGTTTTCGTCATTTTTAGTCTGTTCACAGAGTTATGTAACCATCACCATCCAGTTTAGAACATTTGCATGGCCCCCCAAAGAAACCCAATACTCATTAATCAGTCACTCTCATTTCTCCCCTTCACCTACCTCCTCTCCCAGCCCCTGACAACCACTAATCTACTTTCTGTCTGTGGATTTGCCCTTTCTGGACATTTCATGTAAGTGGGATCAGATGATATGTGGCCACTTGTGTTTAGAGTGGCGAGCAAAGCCCAAGCCGCTGCAGACATCCAGACCAAGGCAGACTAGGCCAGGTGACAGCCTGGCTAGAGTTTGGCGAAGTCAGTTCCTCCCGCCTCAGTGGGGCCTGTGAGCCGCGGTCCCCAGAGATGCATCCAGAGGGCATCAGAGGCAGAATGCCAAGCAAGCCAAGACGCAAGGAGTCACAGCCACCTGGGAGCTTCAAGAGGCGATGCAGGGATTGGGAGGCCGTGGTCCGGGTCAGTTGGGAACTGAGGGTGATCAGGGATGGCCACTCATGGAACCTCTGGATCCTGTAATCTAGAGAGAGCCGGAAAGTGAGCTCCCCTGTTGGTGTTTCTCATTCCCTCAATACAGACACACTTTCCCTCAATACAGACACCCATTCCCTCAATACAGACATACTTCTCCTTTGATGCTGTAGACAGCCTGAGATGTAGTCTACTAATTGTTACCAGTTAGGCTTTCCGTGAATGGGTACCTCATTAAACTTCTCTAGGGGGTTTTGACATTCATTTTCATTCATTCACATCTTAGGGTGAATTATTTTAATCCGGGTACTTTCTTCCTAACAGGAAGAATCAAGTTAATGAAACTGGAAGTCCCTAGTCACCTTAGCTTTCATAACTGGCCTCATAATGTCACGAGAACTCTCATCTTGGCACTTGTCCTTTCAGGTGCCGTGCAAGGGAAGCCCTGTGAGAAATCAAGCAAAGCCAGGCATCTTTCAGTCAAGGATTTTCTCTCCAGTGGTGTGCGAAATAAGAAATGACTCTATGTAGCCAATAGGCTGAGGCAGGAGGATGGCTTGAGGCCAGCGGTTTGGGACGAGCTTAGGCAACATAGTGAGGTCTCTACAAAAAATTTTAAAAATAGCCAGGTTTGGTGGTGCGTGCCTGGGGTCCCAGCTGCTGGGGATGCTGAAGCAGGAGGGGACTGCTTGAGCCCAGGCTGCAGTGAGCCATGATCGCACCACTGCACTCCAATCTATGTCCCTGTCTCTTAAAAAACACCGAAAAACCAAATCCAAAAACAAAACACCACCTCTCTGGATTATGTTGCTCCTCTGCTTTGCACCGTGCTGTGGCTTCTGTTCACAGTCAAAGGCCCCCGAGTGGCTGTGGCCTGCTGCTGTTCTCCAGCCCCTGGCCGCTTGGTCCCCAGGAGACCAGGCGTGCTCCTGCCACAGGGCCTTTGCACTGGCTGCTCTCTGGGTCTGGAACAGGCCCCACCCCACTCAGCTTCCCCCAAGTCTGCTCAGATGCCACTTCCGTACTTCCTAGCAGAAGGAAGCTGCAGGTGCCAGTAACTTACCTGTGGCCAAAAGGAGCCAGTGGCTCCAGTACGCGTGTGGAAGGCTGGCTCTCCTGGGTCACTTCTCTCACGGAGCCTCGGGTTTCTGCTGCCCAGAGGACTGCGTGGCTCCTCATACCTGGCAGTTCTGACACTGCTGGAATTGGGAAAAAAAGGGACCCTGAGACTAGGCCAGTGCTTCCTGGGGTCTCGAGGGGCCCTGTGCCTGGGGCTGGAGGCTGAGCCTCCTCCTCCGTGTCCCCACCCTGGGGATGGCCTATTTTCCGTCTTCCTTGTGCTGACCACTGGCGCCTGTTGGCTGAGGCAAGAGGGCCTCCAGCTGGGTTCTTCCTGTCCTCCAGTTGGTGCCTTAAGGCCCCCACTGGGTGGGGTCTCTCTTTACCCTCTGGTCACATAGTAAACTGTGGCTGCTGTGTGGTGAGTCAGCCCTGTGTGCAGGCAGGGGCCCATTTCCCAAAGGCCACAGTCTGTCCCAGCGCCTGCAAGGCCTCTGCCCTGGCTGGCCTGGACCCCCCTTGCCAGACTCTGCTCTCTGTGGGGCTCTGCCCACATCTACTGCCCAGTAGGACACCCAGTCTCCACTGCTCTTTGGAGACAGAAGAGAGCCTGGCACACTGGCACGGGGTATTTTCCCGAAGGTCAAAGATGTGTTGAGTGAACGAAGGTAGAGAGTCCATTTCTGAGACCTTTGCTGGCCTGACTCAGCTCAGTGGGGTGAAGTTATTACTGCTGAGGTGCTTGCTGTTTTGATTGTCTTTAGAGAGCATTCTTAATCTTTGGATGGTTTGAAATACCAAGGAGAAAAAAGGGAGGAGAGGCTTCTAAAAAAAAAAACTTTGGCCTGGTGCAGTGGCTCATGCCTGTAATCCCAGCACTTTGGGAGGCTGAGGCGGGCGGATCACAAGGTCAGGAGATCAAGACCATCCTGGCTAACACGGTGAAACCCCGTCTCTACTAAAAAATACAAAAATTAGCCGGGCATGGTGGCGGGCGCCTGTAGTCCCAGCTACTCAGGAGGCTGAGGCAGGAGAATGGTGTGAACCTGGTAGGCAGAGCTTGCAGTGAGCCAAGATCATGCCACTGCACTCTAGCCTGGGTGACAAGCGAGACTCCGTCTCAAAAAAAAAAAACAAAAAAAAACAACCAACTTCATTATGAAAACACACAAATGTATACACAAATAGAATAATATAATGACACCCCTTCCCTCACCACACGGCCCATCACACAGCTCCAACAGGCCCCTATTCATACGGGTCTTGTATGCTCAGCCCCTATCTCCACCCCTGGAAGAATTAGAAGCAAACCCCAGACATTGTATCTCACTGCCTGTTGCAGTCTGTGTCCACAGTGAGGCTTCTGAAGGAAAGGCTGTGGAGGGGGTGAGCTGGCGGAGCCCATGTTCTCCTGGGCCTGGCCGGGATGTGTTTGCCGCTGTCACAGCTCCCCCATCTCCACCCGTCACATGACATTGAGTGAGGCCGGCCTGGCTCCAGCCACTGCACAGGTGTCCTGTGGTCATTTCCTTCCTGTGCTGGTGAGGGGCACAGTCACCCGCTTGCACACTCTGAGGTGTTTTCCCTTTTTCCATTTCCTGTCACTGTTTTCAAACTGTGAGAGGAAGAGAGAGACCTCGATCTGATAACCATTCATTTACTATCAAAATTGGGGTCACATCTTTATAAGAACGTGTGGCTTGAGGTCATGAATAGCAGTAATGTGAGGGAAGCTAAGGTTCTGGCAGGATGCAAATAATCTGAGAGTTTTCATTTTGTGGTTATGTATGAGCTGTTTTCTGCTGCATTGCTAACTATTGGAAAAGATTTTCCATAGATTATTATATGGATTATAGAGGAAAACGCAAATCTCCAACCTCTGTACATTTAATCACTTAAATGAAATGTCAAGCCTTCTTGTTAAGAATTACAGTACTGACTGGAACAACGTGGCTTTAAATATGACTTATTAGTTTCTTTCCACTTCTAAAGCTCACAATAAAACACCATGGTTGGCAAAACAAATCAAGGTAAAATACGTTTTGAAAAGTCATAACTTTACTCAACAACAAAAAACTAAGAAATAGAGGACTTGAATAGACGTTTTTCCAAAGAAGACATACAAGTGGCTAAGAAGTAGATGAAAAGATGCTCAGCATCACTAGTTATTAGGGAAATGCAAATCAGCCACAATGAGATGCCACTTCACAGGCATTAGGATGGCTATTATTTTAAAAAGCCAAACAAAACCAACAACAGAAAATAAAAGCATTGGTAAGGATGTAGAAAACGTGAAGATGTGGAGAAATTGGTGCACTGTTGGTGGGAATGTAAAATGGTGCTGCCACCATGGAAAGGTTTGATAGTTCCTTAAAAAGTGAATCAGAATTACCATATGATCTAGGAATTCCACGCCCAGGATAGGCACGCACTGAAAAGAATTGGAAGCAGGGACTCAAACAGACACTTGTGCATCAATGTTCGTAGCAGCATCATTCACACTAGCTAAAAGATAGAAACAACTCAAACGTGCACCGACGGATGAATGGATAAGCAATGTGGTCTACAGACATGGACAATGGAATATTATCCAGCCTTAAAGAAGGAACTCTGGCCGGGTGCAGTGGCTCATGCCTATAATCCCAGCATTTTGGGAAGCCGAGGCGGACAGATCACAAGGTCAGGGGTTCAAGACCAGCCTGGCCAAGATGGTGAAACCCTGTCTCTACTAAAAATACAAAAATTAGCTGGGCATGGTGGCAGGTACCTGTAATCCCAACTACTTGGGAGGCTGAGGCAGAGAATTGCTTGAACCCAGGAGGCAGAGATTGCAGCAAGCCAAGATCGTGCCACTGCACTCCAGCTTAGGTGACAGAGTAAGATTCTGTCTCAGAAAAAAAAAAAGGAATTTTTGACACATGTTACTACATAGATGAACGTTGAAGGCATGTCCAGTGAAATAAGCCAGTGACAAAAAGACAAATATTGTCTGATTTCACTTATATGAGGTATCTAGAATAGCCAAATTCATAGAGACAGAAATTAGAATAGTAGTTACCAGAGGCTGGGGAAGCGGGAAATGGGAAGTTATTATTGAATTAGTATAGACTTACAGTTTGGGATGACAACAAAGTTCTGGAGATGGATGATACTGATGGTTGTACAACAGGGTGAATGTGCTTACTGCCACAGAACTGTACAATTAAAATGATTAAAATGATCCTCTCGGCCAGGCATGGTGGCTCACGCCTGTAATCCCAGCACTTTGGGAGGCTGAGGCGGGTGGATTACGAGGTCAAGAGATCAAGACCAGTCTGGCCAACATGGTGAATCCCGTCTCTACCAAAAATACAAAAATTAGCTGGGTATGGTGGCGTGTGCCTGTAATCCCCGCTACTTGGGGGGCTGAGGCAGAGAATTGCTTGAACTGGGACCCGGGAGGCGGAGGTTGCAGTGAGCCAAGATCGCGCCACTGCACTCCAGCCTGGTGACAGAGTGAGACTCCATCTCAAAAAAAAAAAAGATCCTTTTGTGCTGTGTGTATTTTACCACAATTAAAAATGTAGGAGGAAGTAAAGGAATGGAACAGGATCATGTGAACATGAGTTATGAGAATGCTGGAATGGCATCCGGCAAAGCAGACTCAGAACAGCACTGTTCCTAGAGCTAGGGAGGACTGTTTTATGTGGATAAAGGGGTCAAGTCATCAAGAAGACATTATGATCCTTAATATGTGTGCACCTGATACAGAGCAAAAACTGACAGAACCAAGAGAACAAATAGACAAATGCGCAGTTATAGCTAGAGATTTCCACACTTCTCTCAGTAAATGACAGAACAAGGAGGCAGAAAATCAGTTTAAGAATGCAGAATACTGCCTGGGTGCGGTGGCTCACACCTGTAATCCCAGCACTTTGGGAGGCCAAGGTGGGCAGATTACTTGAGGTTAGGGGTTCGAGACCAGCTTGGCCAACATCGCAAAACCCTGTCTCTACCAAAAATACAAAACTTAGCAAGGTGTGGTGGCACATGTCTGTAATCCCAGCTACGTGGTAGGCTAAGGCAGGATAATTGCTTGAACCTTTTCTGTATTTTTTAGCTAGCACCACGGTTTCACCATTTGATTCAGCGCTGGTCTCGCACTTCTGACCTCGTGATCCACCCTCTCTGGCCTCCCAAAAGCTGCTTGGGATTACAGCCGGCCTTGAGCCACCCGCGTCCC